TATGGTAAATCGTCATTGTGTTCATCTATGTCCTATATAGGAGTGTGTATCTGTTAATTGCAAACTCCTAATTTATCCCTCCCCATCCTTGGGTAACTAAAAATTTGTTATCTATGTCTGTGAGTCTGCTTCTGTTTTTTTTTTTAAATTAAAATTTATTTTTAATCGAAGTAGAGTTGATTTATAATGTTGTGTTAGTTTCAAGTGGACAGCAAAGTGACTCAGTTTTATATATATATTCTTATATATTTATATATATATGCATATATTCTTTTTCAAATTCTTTCCCATCACAGATTATTATGAGAATTTGAATACAGTTCCCTGTCTCATACAGCAGGTCCCTGTTGCTTATTTATTTTATATATAGCCATGTATACCTGCAAATCCCAATATTCCCGTCCCCTGCTTTCCCCTTTGGACACCGTAAGTTTGTTTTCTATGTCTGTCAGTCTGCTTCTGTTTTGTCAATAAGTTCATTTGTGTCCTTTTTTTTAGCTTCCACATATAAGTGCTATCATATGGTATTTTTCTTTCTCTGTCTGGCTTACTTCACTTAGAATGATGATCTCCTGGTCCACCCATGTGGTTGCAAATGGCATTATTTCATTCTTTTTTATGGCTGAGTAGTATTCTATGGTGTAAATACACCACATCTTCTTTATCCAGTCGTCTGTCCATGGACATTTAGGTTGCGTCCATGTCTTGCCTGTTGTAAACAGTGCTGTCTAGAGGAACTTTTGGAAAGGAAAGCCATTGCCTTGGAAAATAAGCCCTGGAAAGTGGACCAGGCGTGGGTGTCAGATAGGATATAAAAAGAGACCAAATAACCTACATCGTCTGGGACGTGCTCCCCCACTCCGTCCACGGAACCTGCAAATCCTCCGGCTGCAGAGGCATTGCACACTCGGGAAGCACTTTTTTTTTATTTTTAAATGGCCCAGGTGTTATTTTCGGCTATCAATGCCTCGGCCGTTTCGGAAGAAAGTAGGACAGAAGCTATATATAAACACGTCAACAAATGAAAATCCTTCTGTGACTTCGCTG